TAATATTATTTGAAAATTTTACTTGTGCATATGTTCATATATTAATTATTACATTGAATAGTAATTCCAATGTACTATACTATTTTACTGAATTACTATCTACGTAAATGTAATATTAAGATAGCACCCGATGAAGTCCCGCCAGGACAGAAACAACTGTTGTCGTGGAACGGCGATTTATTCTAATACACACCCACCCACACCCACACCCACCCCACCCTTAAATTTTATTTCATATGATTTTATAATTAGTTTGGAAGTTTATCTCACTAAACTTTTAACTATATTTAATCATGTTGGAGACGTTGCTATATAACATCTTCAATCATATGCTTTATTCAGTAATTGATAAGTATTAATTTTAGCACTTATCGAAACACGTGTCTTACCAGCTATTATGATTGATTTTAATTTCTTTAAATCATTCACACCCACACCCACACCCTTATTACTTCAAATATTAAGCTGTTATTTTATTACGTTTAAGTCTTAACTTCCTCTTGGATTAGAGTGAGTTCTGATTTATATGTAATTATGAAATTCTGAACATACCTGATGACTCCCTTAAGCAAGGACGAAACGTCGTGTGATGCTTTGAATTTCAACTATATATTTATTATTACTTTAAAACTTCAAGTTTCGTGGTAACTTCTCACACTCATTATAGTGTTTAGGAATAATTCTTCGATTAAGTTGAATTATTCTCCGAGTTTTTTGTATTTGATTTGAACTTTTGCTTTCGAATCAATCGTACAATTACTTGCCACTTGACAATAACTTAGTAACTTTTGAAAAACTTCAAGTTTCGTGGTAACTTCTCACACACACACCCTAAAACCTGGATAAAACACTGGCCAGCACTGGTTATCCACGAGCACAGAAGGTATACAATTATTTGTTAACTCTTCCAGTAACCATCGCAACTAATGAACGATGCTTTCATAAGCTAAAACTTATAAAAACTTACCTTAGATCGGCAATGCATAATGAACGATTATTTCAATTAATGTTATGTGCCATCGAAAAAGATAAACTCGATGGACTTGATTTACATTGTTTGGCGAAATAGTGGACAAAGATGAAGGACAGACGCATCGTAATTCCATCTGATAACTAAATCTATTTATATTACTTTTTCTTTTTTTTTCTAATCGCCATTTTGGTATCTTTTTGTAATGCACTATAGTATGACAACATTTTTGTTTCTTTGTTGTGTTTTTTGACAAGTGTAATTTATGATTAAATTAGCAATCTATTCAATACTATAAATCTCCTGCGATCTCTTAAAAACATGCAAAATCTGCATAACTCTCGATCCTTATTGTTAGGCTTGCACCCCCCTCCCCCAAAGTTCGACCCTTCGCGCGGGGCCTGTTGTCATTTTTAAAATTGAATTTCAATCATAATAGAAAAGTTCCAATATTGGCTATATCTTCTAATACAAATCAATAATAAACATTTTTTTTTATTGAAATATCACTTGTTTTCTAGAACATATCTTTTATACTTTCATATATAATTATATTATATTGATTAATAAATATATTTTGTTTGATAGAACGTAAACGTCAAAAATGAGTCACCACTCTTTCACATTTGGCTATAATGATCACGTTATTTGACAATAGGAATGAAAAGGATAAAAAAAATTGAAAACGACCTTGATAATAAAAATATCAACGATCGTATGAGAGTTCAAAAATAGATCGAACAGAGTTATGAAAGATTTTGTCAAAATTTGGATCTACAATAAAAAAAGTGCCATGTATGTACAATTGAACATGATTGTATTTATTATCGAATATAAACCAGTTTTGAATTCGCAGTGAGCGATTTTGAAGTGTGATTTTCTCGTACATTTCATATTTCACAAGTTGTTCATAAATAAATGAAAACACACCTTGTGACTATATCAATGACTACAGGGAGATCCAAACCAATTATGACTAAACGAACGCAGAATGAACAAGAAATAGCCTATCGAATTTTACAAGTAAATAACATATGAAAATTTGCCAATATCGGTATTAAATTGAATTTATGCAATTTATGTTTTACTCTTCATTTTTAATTATGACTAACAGCTTCTTTCAAATAGTATTATATATTTCACCTTAATAATCTTTCTTATTTATATTCTTGAAATGTTATTCTTTCTATTCATCTAAACGGTTTTTATATAATTAATAAAAATTGAAAATAAAATAAAATTTTGTTTGTCATTCATCAAACTAAGAATGTTGACAAAGAATTTCAGTTAACATGGATAACTTTCATATTTCACTCGATCAAAAGTGAATAAGACACATTGATATTTTTAATGAGATAATAAAAAATGGGACAAACGAATAACTCTCAGACCTTCATGAAGCTTTTCTAATGTTAACTTTGATCTAGAATGATCAATTAAATAAATGAAATGTTTCTTAAAATAGAATGTTATAAAATCAATAAATTATTTCAATCATCAGATAAAAAATGTATTCGATTGGTAAATAAATTAAAGCATTAGTAAATATTATCAATGGACAATCTACTAAAGTGAAAGATGAGTATACGAATTGCGAATGTGTTACAGTATGACCCTTTTTTTTCTGTTCGTTGAAAATGTAATATTAATGACAAGTAGGATATTTATATTAAGTTATACAATTTTTATTTCAAGTTTTTCTTTGACAACTCAACTATTCTTAACTAAATATTTTCGAAATAATAATAATGAAAAAGTTTCATATTTTTAGTTATCTAATAGATGTAGAAATAAATCCATTGATGTCGTTATTTCCATTTCATGCATTCAATTATGGAAAAAGAAAATTACACCAATTGTATTTTTTTTTATTTGTTTAACATAGTCTTCATTTTTTGTTTTATTGATTATTGGAAACAATCGTAGTTTTTATATCGATTGTATTTTTCTACATCGCTTTCATTCTATTTTTTAAATACCTTTCAAAATGAAAATTATCGCATTCGTTTCATCCTTTTTTTGCATCTTCTTCGTGATCAATTTCTAATAATCTCTAAAAGAACTAGAATCAACGCACTTGGATTGATTTTTATAAAAAATGACTTTCATAGAAAAAAATGAAAATTTCGATTTTCATTTATGAGTTAAAATAGACATCAGTGTAACATGCATTTCATCATTGAAAGCTTTTTTATTTTATTTTGTGTCGTCATTTTTTCATGAAATACGTGTCATTAAATTTATGTCATATTGCGCATTGTATTTATTATTCAGTGGCTACTACGTAGAATGAGAAAGACCAAAATAGAAATCAAATAAGATCGAGAATAAAAATATCATAGTCGAGCCGCTCAAAATAATCAATAACTTGTAAGCAATTAACCATGACTATATTTTATTGCGACAGATTAATTTTGTTACCATATATAAACATCTGATATTGACATGAAACATAAGACATATTTAACTTATTATTACTAGTGGATAATTTCAAAATGCGCTTTTATTCAATATTATTTTATTTCGGCCTCTTACTATTTATCTTATCAGCAATGGTACATACAGGTAATGCAGCTGCTGTAGCACAATTGGCTGCACGAGCAACATGCACGTCAGGAGATGGACAAAGTACTTGTACTTTTAGTGACTGCTGCTCAGCAACTGATAGCAGTTGTTCTTGTGGCTGTGCAATCACGCAGCAAGTCAGTCGCGGAACCATCGCTTAATGGTAAATAAAAAATATGAAAACTCTTCAATTTATTCATGCAATTTATACTTTACTCTTCACTATTTATCATTATTAATGCTTATTTTACATCTTCAACGTTTACTTTCTTTTTCACTATGATTAACATGTAGTTTTAAATAGTTGCATATATATTTCTTATTTATATTCTTTCAATGTGTTTAGTATAGAATGAAGTTTGTATTGATTGGAAAAGATTGATTTTTGTCAGAGCGTTATTTTATATACTATATGTCGTTCTTTTTGTCCATCTGTACAGCTTTTATTCAATTAATACAAATTGAAAAAAAAAACTTTTAATCATTTTGTCATTCATCAAACTGAGAATTTCGATAAAGAATCTCAGTTAATCTGATTAACTTTCTCATTTCACTTGAACAAAAGTGAATATGACACTTTGATATCCGAAAGATATTTTACAGTATGACTGATTTTTTCTTTCTTTCACCTTGGTTTCATATTATGTCATATCTACAGCAAGTACGACACATATATGCGAATTTCGGCATCAATATTGTAACATTTTGTATCTTAAAAAAATTTTACTGCAGATATATCATATAATCTTGTTTTTTTTTCTAAAATATGCGCAGTGAAAAGCTTTAAAAAAACTGTAAGATAAAATCTCTATTAATTTAGTCTGATCATGACTCTTGCACTCAAAGTAACCAAGTTACATGAAAATATTATATCCAATTGTATTCAGCATGATGAACAATTTTTGTAAGATATTTTTGTTTTTTTGAATATGTGTTGGTTTTACAAAAAAGGACAACACTTTGATTTCTTTTAGTAAATGTACTGACAAAAGTTCAACAAATGACATATATAGAGGTCAACTCTTCTTAAAAAACTGAAATAGTTTACCAAATATTTCTATCACAGTAAAACTGGTCAGGCATAGCACCATGATGTGACCTGTAAATTTTGGACATGGGAGACACTAATTCTTATAGTTTTTCATGGCGCATCTTCTAACACAAAAAAATGACGACTAGGCAATTTATCTATGGTGTGATGTTTTTGAAAGACGAAATGTTGCGATCTGTGTATTGCACTCGTCATATAAATCTATTGTGATTGTCAAGAAAGAAATCCATGGATATTTGTATTATTTTTTTGTAAAGAGAGATTCACATGAAATGCATAAAAATGATGTCATCTTATTCTTGGATTGTAAAAGATATAATATTGCTATGCAATCCAACGATATAGCGTAATTTTTTTTGCTATCATAGCGAATTAAGTAATGATTTATACTTGTATAAAAGATATTATTTAGAATTGTTTTTTTACTGTGATATCACTTATTTTCTAGAGTATATGTTTCGTATGAATGATGCTATATCGATTAATGAGTATATTTTGTGCTGCAAAATGCAAAAGATAATTGTGAGTCAACATTCTTTCACGTTTCATAATAATGATTACGTTATTCGAAAAGTAGAAATGAAACGAATAAAAAATTCAACAATCGTAAAACAAGAAATGAAATAATATGCTATAATATTCTAATCATATTACGTAGGGTGTAGCTATGAACAAATGATCTTAGACATTTATTTATAACTTTAAAAGAAAATATGATAAATGATAAATGATAAACAACAAAAAACAAAAAAAAGTGAATAGACATTCGAATTATAATAATATCAAGTGAAAGAAAAGTTAAATTTGTTGTATGGTTAAAGATTTTTTTGATTCAATTAGCTTAGCCAATTCGAACGACAATTTTCCAATAATTATCTAAAAATTTATATAAATATAAAATGAATATATAATAAATGATATAATTTAGTTGCTGTAAGAATCAAGCAAACAATGCAAATAATAATAACGATGAAAATTACTATTGAAAGACTAATAGTTAAATTCTTGTTGTCAACATTATTTATGTTTGTGTCACAAGCAAATGTGCGAAAAAAACTCAAGACAAATCCAATTCCGATAACAAATGAAATCATTTCAATTATACTAAGCCAAGCGAACTATAGATAAAGAATATAAATATATATATATATTTTTTTAATTAAAAAATCTATTATTGATAAAAAAAATTCATTTAATATTTTATTTTAGCTTTTTTTCGAGAGATTTTCAAAAATCAATCTCTATTTATTAGATCTCCAAACAACTACCAACAGTCGATTTTTTTTTTTATAAATTTATTGTTTTTTCTCATGAGCATGTCAACTCAGTATTTATTTGTTTTGTCAATATATATTTGAATCCGAATATTTTAGATTAATTTACTATCCAAATATATTTCTTCGAAAATTTTTTTTCGATTAAAATAGATTCTTTTTTACTTTATATATATATATAATAAAAACTATTAAAAGCAAAAACATACCACTCGTAAACCTGTTTCATAATATCGATAAGCAATGAATATTCCAAATCCATAAAAAATAACTGATATAATAGACTGACCGATTTGTGTCCCATGTTGTGTTTCTTACATACGATTAGCAATTTCATTTTTTGATATTGTATTTATTCTTCTGATTGTAGAAAAAGCCTTAAATATTAAAAAAATTCCAAGATATATTTCAAATAGATTGTTTGAATTTCTATTAATAAATAGTGAAAAAATTTCTAAGACCATCAATATTCTTAAAACAATAACTATTACAAATTATCTTATTATTTGTATCAAACAAGTTCATTTTCATCTCTATGTCAGTAGATAGAATTAATAAAATTCTATTAATGGAAATAAATCTTTTCTTTCGGACCTCTCATTGAAGGTTCATGAAAAAAAGATGAGGGTGTGGATGTGAGTGAAGGTATGGATAACGAGAACAGATTACACACATGTATCTACACCCACACCCGCAAATGAATTAAACTCAATATTAAAAGGCCGATGTCTAAACAGTTTGACGCGAAATATAAAATCTTCAACCTTACGATGGAACATAGAAAAAAGAACAAGAAAAGACAGTCGCCAGTTCATAGCAATGGTCATACTTTAATGCAATGGATAAATTACTTGGTAAGCCCAACTTGCTGAGTTACGTCTAAAATAAAATGTTTAGGATGTTTTTCTATATGTTAGAAAATAATAGTTTCTAGAAATCATCTTGAAGAAATATTTCAAAAATTGTAGTTTACATTTTTTAGGACAGAGACTATACAGTGCTGATTTCTTTCTATCTGACTCCATGGTGACTGAAAAATTACAGCTGAAAGATGGGATGTGGGTGTGAGTGAGATTTCTTTTGAAAGGTTTACCCATACGCACACCCACCCACACCCACACCCACTCATCCATATCCACACCCACATCCAAACATCCACCCTTCTCAAGAAAGCTATAGCAAAATCTAACTTTCTAAGGTCGCTCTTAAGGCGTAAGATAGTAGTGAAATCATTTCATTTTCGAAGTACAGAAGTAAAATATTTAGAAAAACTGTTCTTTAGATTTTCTACTTGAAGCACTTTCTTGCTCACGCCACGTGCAAACTTTTGGATTGTAAAAAAGATCTATTTCTCTTGTCGAATCGGTCCGTTGCATTTGAAGTGTATATATCGGCTCATTGTAATTGCATTGCCAATGCTCTTTAATATAAACTTCCATATTACCAGTAGTATCGTTCACCGGTACTTTGTGTTCGATAAATTCTCGGCTTGTGAGTTGTTTGGATTCGTATTTCGACAGAGTTCCTTGTCGAACCAATATTCTCACTCTCGAAAAAAATGTATACGGAATGTCTTAATCGACATCGAGACCCATGATCTTAACTTTTTGTTTTTGAATGGTAATACGTATTCGTCGATCATGTTCCCATTTAGATATGGAAATGTCTAATTTGACCATCAAACCTCGTATAATATCATCGCACAAGGCATGAATATTTAATTGAACCAATGAAGCCATTGGAGTCAATTGCAGGGTGTGGGTGTGGGGAGGATGTGGATAAGAAAGTGGGTGAGGTCACTATAAGGACTACATCTACATACACCCCTATCCACCTACATCCCACTCCACGTTCACATCCACACCCACACACCCCTATCCACTCATATGCACGCCCACCGCTCACCCTTTTGGATGATTGAGTTCACTTGTACAGCTATTCTTTTCAAAAAACTAAAACAACAAAAAGAAAACATTGAATTTTCTCATTTTCATAACAGTGATTAATATTCAATGTACAAAATTCAAACACAATTTTTGAGAAAGAAACTAATTTGGATATAACTGCTATTCGCTAACTAATCAATACGAATATCTATAGATGCTATTTCAGTGTGAGATTTATCATTTATTAAAATAAAACTTATCTTTACTTGTCTGTTAGCAAACATGGAAACTTTACTTCCAGACGAAAATAAATTGGAAGAATATTTTGTACATTAGTTCATTGAATAAATAACAATTTAACCAATCGCTTATCTTCGAACTCAATACATATTCATTCTCAAATCCTGCCAACAGAATTCTAGATAGTTCAACAGTGGAATAGTGCCGAATTTTATAAAAATCTAATGAAATCCTGTTGAGCAGTTTTTATCTGAGTTCATTTCATTTGTGCATAGTTCTGTGATTTACAGGTTTGACATGGATTTTTTTAACTTTCATTAGATCGATGACATCATATAGTCTTTGTTAACTCATACTATTTATGCCATCACACATTGAATTAGAATCATTTTGTTTTAAGAATGCTTCACTACAAACAAATAAAGTTGAATATAAGATGTTTGAAAAATAAATAATATGAATCAATGACTATTATTCATTCAAAATAAAACAACTTAAATCTGTTTTAGGATAAGACTTCTTTGATGTATTAAAATAGGTTATAGTAAATATAAATTGTTGTATGTTATGAAGAAAAAAGAATTGAATTTTTTTTTTCATGTAAGTTTTTATTTTAATTTGTAAAAATTTTCCCATTTATATTAATCTGTGGAAAATGTAGAAGAGAGTTTTCATCAAGATAAATGTTGAGAATGAAAAATTTTATTCATTAAGTAATGAACGACCTTTAATTTGTATGATTGAGTACTACTAATACTTTTTTTTCTTTATGTTGTATTCTTCGTTAAAATGTCAAGATTTGAGTGCAGAAACTATTTTCATTCATATTTACTGTAGTTAACCAACAAGTGAAAAGTAATGTTAGCATGCATTAAAATCTTCATAGGTTTTCTCAAAATCTCGAAATAATTCTATATTTAATAGTAATCATTCATTCTTTTTCTTCAGAAATAAATAAAAGTATCTTATTCATTAATAAATGCTTATCAAGTTTTTTCCTTATATTGCAAATCCCAAGCATTAGTTCCATTTTATTTAAATTTTCTATATCAGACGCAGGCGAGTATGATCAACTTCTTAGTGTGATTATTATCAAAATGAATATAATTTTCACTTCCCATGTCCTCTTACAATTATTCATAGACTTCGTAGCACATTTCATAAAATGATTTATCATCAAAATCGTCAGCAATCTACAACTTATTCTTCAGTTCATCGGTAACTATCGTTGGCATGTCTTTCATGATTACGTATTAAGTGAAAAAAAAGTCGTATGCTAGTTTAACATAAGTTTTACGATAATTCATGAGAAAAATATACCTCAAATGTACTTGAAAGATTATTTAATCTTCAAAATATGTATGTACGATATGATATATAGATGTATTTTTATCTAGCATTCAAAAGAAAAAAGAAAATTCGAAACTAATGATGGTAGTCTTAAGTATCGCTTTATATCGTAATTATCAATGAAACAAACCGATTAGATGCTGATCAAATCGAATTTAAACCAATCACAAAAGAAAATTTGTCAGGTTCTACTACGATTGCGAATTTATTAGTTGATAATGAATGTTAAAAAAAAATACCTTGATTTACTCATAAAATAAATGAAAAATACTAATATCATGGAAGTCACGGTCATACTTCTTTGATTTCTTTTTTGTTGAAGAAATGATGTAGCAGACTTGTCAATAATGAAAAAATGATTTTTACAGTGCATGAATCTTGTATGCTTTCTAATATTTTAGTTTGCTGGCATTCTAAATAATAATTTCTGTTCTGTAAAGGAATCTGCTGAAAATGGTCTCATTATATTAGCAGCAAAGACCTATGATTTAACTCCATCATATAAGTTTATATTAATTCTTATTCTCTTCAAACTGCTATTATTTTTCAGATATATATATATACAAAGATTGATTGAAAAGAAAACAATGACTGAAACAATTCTTTTCTGGCCCAGGTGGTGTTCATTAATTGTTAATTGGCTAAAACAGCTTAACGTGTTTGAATCGTACTCAAACGATGTGGATGTGATACGATTGGAAAGGCGATCTACATGGATTTATCTGATATTATTGTTGGTTTCCTTGATCATTGTAGTTATTTATGCAGGATCTTTACCACGTACTAAAATCATTAAAACTTTTCGACCATCTGAAAATGAATTCAAAAGGCTCTATGATAAATTTTCCAATACACTTAAATGTCCATGTTCTCAAGTTGCAATACAATATAGTTATTTCACTAATATTGATGTTAAATTTCATGAAGTTTGTGAAAGTCAGTTCATTACACAAGATTGGATAGATTCCGTTTATCATGTCAATGTTTCAATAATTCCACCAAATGATGTTCGAACGGTCATGAGTAATTTCTGGCAATTCATTCGTTCATTCTGCAATCTAACAAAAGAGACATTTACTGATGCCTATACTGACTTCAATGCTACAATCTTATTGACTCCAGTAACTCAATCACAATTTTTTATTGAGACAAACGTTGAAGCGTCACTCAATTTCTCAGTTACTTCTGCTGTATCCAATCTTAAACGTAATCTATTCATTAGTCGAGAAACAACATTAGTGAATGGATTCATGTCAAGTTTAGCTACCAACTATCACATGGAATCAGTTTATTACGCTTCATTGCCAAATACAGCAAATTTTCAGAGTCGTGCTAAAATATTCGAAGATAAATGTGTTTGCTCAAATTTGAGAGGATGTCCTCGGCCAGTTTCTATTTTCGATCTTAATACAAAATCTATTGAAACAAATGTAACTGGTATGATATTCGACTGTTTACTTGTAGATGGTGTTCTTGCCTCATCACTTGACTGCTTTTATCAGTCTTCATGTTTATCTCTGCTCCAAAATGAAGCAATTATTCCAATAGGAGTACAACCACTTAACGCTTCGAGTCGATTCACACAAACAACTACTATAGAACAACTTCTAAGTGAACTTATGATTGAAGAATTAACAAAAAAGATTAACTTTTTACGCTACTATACAGAGTGCGATCCTGTATTTTGCACATATTCATATACAAGTCAGTTTGATGTATTGTTTGTTATTACAATGGTGGTTAGTGCATATAGTGGATTCTCAATTATACTAAGATTTTTATCTCCAGTTTTGGTTATGCTGATAATGAAGATATACAAGTGGAAAACAAGGCAGCATTCGATTGAACATAATGACAGTCATCAATTAACGAATCGTATTTTCTTTTCATTTTCTCGTAAGTTATAAATAATTAATAAAAGAACAGAATTGATAATATATTTAATATTATTCAGATCAAATGATTAATATATCAAAAGCTTTCTTCAGGATCTCCATTAATTTCTTTTATATTTTATATGTCTGTAAGACAGTGAAATTGACTCTAAATTCGCATTCTAATCTATATTTACTATTTTTAAGACAATTTTTCATAAGAAAGTTTCAAGAAAATCAATTCAGATATGATTTTTTGATCGATCATAAAGTAATTTTGAAATCAAAATTTTCTGAGGAAACGCGTATCTTGGTATTTTTTCAATCAATTCGTTGATTGAACTACTCAATACGAACCATTCAGAACTGATAATGTTTCTAGTATAACCATTAGTGCGAATCGAGAATTCTGTTTAATCTATTAGTGAGAGTATTTAGTCAACAATCAAAGTAGTTGATTGATAGACTCTTTAGTTCAAGAACAGCATAGCTATCTGGCATTTTACATATTTATTTTGTTATTATTTCTTATTATATATGGATCTATTTCATTAGCAATACTTTTACGACTTTCATTTAGGTCAAGCGCTCGTTAATCAATGCCAGAAATTGATCACTATTATCCGATCAAAAATTCATAATTTGAATTTATTCAAAACTGCATTTGCAAATGATGACACCGTACGTCGACAACATATTACATCTTGGGTTTATATCACCTGTATTAGTTTTAGTCTTCTTATATTGAGTTCTTACTGGTTATTATCAAGTAAAATGAAGATCGTTACCATATCAAATCCATCTCTAGCTGATTATAATCGTCTATGGATGATTCATTCACACAATCTTGAGTGTCCATGCTCACAAATATTTATTCCACATTTGGATTTCATGCATATTGAGCCTGTTTTTCATCAAGTATGTTCAAGTAAAATTACCTCACCGAATTGGTATCGAAATTTAGAAATAGCTGATAACATAAGAACTGGAGACGAAAGTACATTTGAAATATCTCTCGGTATAGATTACTTTCGAGCACTTGATGCATTTTGTTCTCTAGTCGAAAACTTTACTGTTGATGCTTATCGAATATTTTCATCGAAGATATTTATAAGCAGCCATGCTTTACCTGATTTATTCTTCAGTAATGAAATAGTCACTCTGATTGATACATTCACTGAATCGACTACTGTTCGATTCGCTAGAATCTTCGATTTCACTCGCAATATCATTCAGACAGATCAGCTTGCTTCTCGGACATTTTCAAATTTTTTACTTCAAGCAGGAGCCGACGGTACTCTGATGCTAACTGAAAAATTCCAAAGAATGCCAAGTGCACATTTTCCTATAGTAGTCCGTTTTTCATGTTCATGTTTGAGTATTGGTCCTGAATGTGGCTCCTATGCATTCATCTCGAATTCCAATACTTCAAGAAACTTTTTTATAAATCGATATCTATTCAACAGATGTCTATTAACAGATTCAGTACTCAGCTCAGCGCTCGAGTGTTGGTATAATGCCTCTTGTTTTAATCCTGTGGAAGATGCATATGCTCAAGCAGGAATCTTCAACAAATTTGATGGTATTCTCAATGACAGGAATATTTCAAGTCGATTTCCTATGAATAGGGATTTTGGAACAATGTTGAACGAACTTTTAATAGAAGATTGGATAAGTAATGTTTCTTATAATAATTATTTCGATAAATGTGCTCCATTGTCGTGCTCCTTTACTATTGAACAAAAATTCGATTGGTTTTACGTTTTTGCCAATATCTTGGGTCTTTATGGTGGTTTAAGTGTTGGTCTTAAATTGATTTTACCCGTTATTGTTTCACTTATTCTGTTAACGTTGAGACAAATTTCAAATCGATTTCGAATTCGTCCTGATTGTCAACTGGCACAAACAAATGAAAATGTCAAATCGAATAGTGAGTAAGACGAGACAGTTTCGGTGAAAAAAGATCAGTCGTATTATTCGGTTTAGTTCTCTACTAAGTATAATCAAGTGCATAGAGAGAGAAGAGTAAGGAAATGTTGGATTTCATATTTTCTTACGTAATAAAATACTTTGTCACTATACAGAACTTCAAAAAATGTACCCCTTGAGAGAATTCCTTTTCTTTTCAATTGCTCAATCTTCTTCTCTTCAGGAATTTCAGTGTATATGCCTAATTAGTTATGATGACAGAAGTGTCCGATCATTCAAAACATACCGTCTTTTTATATGCTGTAACACTTTTCCTTTTTTTAGCAAAAAGGGTTCCGTGTAAAGTACAGAAAACATTATTTTATTAAAACAATGGAATTTCTCAATAAAAGTAACACATTAACTAAAAAAATTACAGATATATACATTTAGTATCTTTTATGGTCAAGGTTTAAAGCTTCGAAGAGAACTTGCCATGTAAACAGCTTGGTCATATTCGTTTATTTGTCACTTACTTCAGAATATGAGAACTAATTTTGTTTTCATATGATTTTGCTTTGTTTAATTTATATATTGTGTGAAATAGTGTAATAATATTTGTTTAATTATTTTTAATTGTATTTCTTTTCATTGTCATCATATTTTGTTTATTTTAGCTCCAATTTTGTCTTACAAAGAAAGGCTCATGCAATATCTGTTGAATTATAATCTCTTTAAAACGCCATACAGTACAAATGCTAGTCGATCGAAAGAACTGTTGTCAACACGTATCTTTATTGTCGTTTCAATCATTATGGCGGTTACAATTATTTTCTATGGTGGTTTCAGTGAACAAATGAAAAATAAAACGATTCATATTCCTTCTCAACCATCTTATGAAAATTTTCAACGTCTTTATTCGGATTCACTTCAATGTCCGTGTTCAAATATATCTTTCTCATACAATACTTTTGTTCTTCATTTGAATGCTATTTTTCATCCAGTTTGTTCCAGTATTCTCATTTCTGATACATGGATGACAGATTTCAATTATAGAGGCAAGTATTCTCCACAATGGTTTCCTCCACAAGAATTTCATCGATGGGGTATTCTCTTTTTCAAACTACTTAGTTCTTTATGTTCAATATCTAATTCAACGATCATCGATGCTATTAAAGAGTTTCGATTCAAAACATTTGTATCCACTGTAGTTGTACCTAAGATCCAATTCGAATTACAAATAAATGAGACAATTAGAGTTTTTCAGAAATCGATGGAAACGCAAGTTTCTCGTGTGTTGCAATTATTCCGTGCTAATGCTCAAGGTAATGGTTTTATATCTGCGATAGGAACGAATTTATTGTTGAGCTATGTGCCTAATGGAATAAATGCTTCAATCATATATACACCAAAATCGTACAATAATGCAACGTGCTCATGTGCTACTTCAAGTCTATGCGTCGAACCAGCATTCTTTAACTACGAAAATGGCACATTATCTTACACTTTGGAGAATATATTCATGAGTTGTTTTATTGTAGATTCGATATTACTTTCATCATTAAGATGTTTTTTCTCCGATTCCTGTACTGCTGATTTTAAAAATGGATATATTAGTGATATCGATAGTCCATTCGATGTGAATAATAGTTTATTAGGACCGTACAAAACATTTCCTATATTAACTCTATCGGAAAATTCTCGTTATACGATGAATGATACAATTGAAATGATCGTCAATAATTTTTTCATCGATATATGGTCAAGTGAAATTTCATATGAACAATATTATAATGCATGTGCTCCTATATATTGCACATATAGATATGGAGAAAGATTCAATGTTCTTTTTACTCTAACAATATTTCTCACTCTTTTTAGTAGATTGTCAGCGGGACTTCGTATGATTGTTCCATTTTCGGTCAAGTTAGTTTACAAATTTCTGTCATTCATTTCACAGCGTAGATAAGTCCACGTTTTCACTAATAATCTTTCTTTACAGCTCTAATTTTCTATTGTTTCGTGACACTATTACTTTTCTTTTCATTTTCAAATTATTTTTATCTTATTCTATTCTTTGTTCTGTTCTTTTCTTTAAGTGTATGTCAGTTTGGCTTACTTGAATCGTGCTTGTTCTATTATTCTACTGTTTTGTCTAATAAATGCGCACATTTGCAGGAATGTGAATGTGATAAAAACTACTATACATCAATATCCATTGAAATAATAAACAAATTTCGGCTGATCATATATTGAAACAGGCACTGCAATTGATATTAGCTAAGATGTTTCAAAAGATTATTGTCGTCAATGTCTCATTTTACCTTCACATCAAATTGGTCATTGCTTTGCTATGAACTGTGCTTGTGAATTGTACAGTGCATTAGAATGAAATAAATGAAAATTTAAGATAGAATAAAGACACTCAGTTTTGAAAAGGTATCAATGAGTCATTAGATGCAATTACCTCAAACGCACCTATATTCATATCCTCAGCGTAATTATGTTCAGCCTTCTATGTAGACATAAGCAACGCTAAATCAATTTTTTATGGCAAGACCCTATAACTTCCACATTTGAAAGTACAATCACATGTATACTCTAATATTTACTATTATCAACAAAATAGATTCAGTTAGGAAAAGTGATTACTACTAAATCTAATGTTTAAATACCTCTTATGAGTGTTAATGCGAATTTATAGTTTAATATGGATCTAAAACAAGAATAATATCTCAAACACATATATTCAATCTATATCGTATTATATGATATATTTCATACTACACTAAGATCAATGAAAATCAATCGAAGAATAAAGAGAAGACTTAAATAATAAAATTCACTCTATATAGAATGTCAGAATGAATGATAAAGAGAATAAAAAGGAAAATATGTAAACTGTTTGAAATCGACCCACAGATACATGTTAAAATATTGAGTGGATTGATTACGTGTGGGTGTGGGTATGCATGGAGCATATAACTACCCCCATCCCCACACCTTTGCACTACAATGGATTTGCGTGTATATGTATTTTACATTTACACATGACAATGCTAAGAGTGTTGAAAGATGGGTGACTGATTCTTTTACAATGTATCTCACCAAGAATTTATACGATCTTGTCAATGTCAAGGCATTTTTTCTATCTACTTTAACTTCACGTCTATTTCGAAATACATTAAAGAGAGCTTTACTTAAACTGTTCCATATTCAATCAAACCAATCATAAAATGAAGGACAATTACAGATCTCAAACATTGATAGAAAGCAAAGTAACGTACCTAAAGTAACGAAATTTGACGTTTGAACATTTCTATGATTCATTCGTTCAAAACTACTAATCACGATTCATATTCTTTATTTTTTCTTTTGATTTCAAAGTCGATGTCGTATTTTTGTCTCTCAGTCTTATCAATGATATGCATAGGATTCATTAATAAATAAAATTATGCGAATACATTACGATGATCATAATACGCAGTATGACTAATTTACTAACTTACTTCGAAAAGAAAACTCTAGTTTTTTGAAATTTCGAATTGAGTTTTTTAGATCAACGGAAGGGCTTTTTGAGAAAATAGCGATGTCATATTTGTCAATCAGACTAAAGCATGATCGAAGAATCAGAATCGAAGATCAACTGCTTAAAAACTGAAATGTTCTATGAAGAAAATCATACCTTTCTGTTTGAATTATTGCGTCTTTCAAATCTATAGTTTTTGCTTAGTTTCAGTACTCTCTTTACAATATGGTTGTAGAAGTGAATGCTTAAGTAAGTTGTAGGTTGATGAAATGCTGTTTACGCACAATAACATTCAGTGCAATGTGTGAGACATCGACGGATTCTGTTTTTCTTAGTGGTTTTTGAGTTACATGACTTTTTTCCGTTTACTGTGTTTGAGTTGAGAGAAGTAGCATTAAAAAGATTTCGTGACCGAAGTTACAGCTTGTTCGATGAATTCAGAATAATCAATTATTACTTTTATGTATTCAAATGATCCAGCAAGTACCTATGAGATGTACATTTATCAAGAATAATGAAGTAATATTCTCGAAATCCGGAGCCCTAATCGATCTCTAACGTTTTAGCTAAACAATTAGTGTAAAGACATTGACCATGAATAATAGAAAAGTGTTGGTTCGAAGAAGCTCATCTGGAGTAGTCACGTTATGAAATAAACAGTTTTTCAAAGTCAGAATAATCCGATATTTTATAGGTTTTAAGTCAAAGGAACTGTTTGATGCGCAAAGAAGATAAGAGATATCAGAAACTAGCTGCTGCATTACATAGTTACTATATGAAGGGCATTAAATTATAAGGATTCAATAGGAAAATGTGCATAGGTTAGACCCGACGAGTTTCATTAGTGACTTCAAATAAGATGAAAAACAAAAGCGTCATTAAAACAATTCAATTCGTTCCATGAAAATCAAATTTGAATGAAAAAGAACGAGTTCTTGTGAGTTTGGTATGTGGATATATCCATGAAGTCTCGCCAGTCGATCTAGTGACCACGTTTAAGTCGCGGATGTGGGTGTGATGATATTCATTTCAAAGAAACAAGGTCGACAACTTCATATCCACCTAACCACATCCTACGGGCTAGTCATTATGTCAGTGACTCTTTATCTGTCGACTTAAATAACTGTCAATAACTAAGTTGGCTTTTTATGCGAATTAAAAAGCAACAGTTTATTACTTGCAATGTTTATCTGATTGATAGAAAAATGAAAGAATCACTTCCATATCAATCATTGTGCTGGTAGCTTTTGTTCATTTTAAATTGCAGGAGATTTTTTGACTTATAAATATTTATTTCGGCTCCCTTCTTCTTCTTCTTCTTTCTTCCAAACGAGTAAAATATTGTTTGAATGAAGTTTTTGAAAAAAAAAAACAAAATTATTTTGAGTATAGCCAAGGCATGTTTTGTTTTTACCACGATTTTTTTATACAAGATTCTATCGTTTTTTTCTTTTTCTACTGTCAAATATAGCTAATTGACTAGTCAGTCAACGAATACTATTTGGAAGGAACAAAGCAGAGATGCAAGACATGACGAAAAATATTTTTATATGCTACTTGACCTCTAATGAATCATTCAAAATGGGATTAACAATAGAGATTGTGATTTTCTGATGTCAATAACAACCAACTGTTCGTACTGAAGATAAACTATATAAAATGTTATTTAAAAAATCATTTAAAACAAAAGAAGAAATGCAGTCATTCCTTTTTGTTGCTTGTAATCAGTTAGAATGCAGATGGGATGCTAAAAAAAGAGAAAATATAATCGCATATCTTCAAGAGGCGAATTTCATAAGACAAATCTATAGAAAAATAACAGGCAAACACTAAATAGTACAGTGCGTGTCATTTGTCGTCAACATAAAGAATTCAGAATAAATTGTTTTTATTATATCAATATCTTGTTTAAGTAAGATTAAAGAAATTATCAAATTTCATAAAAAAAAACAAAATACTTCCAACATATGAACATTTATTTCGCTTTTACATGCTATTGAAAAACAGCTGTTTCTAGTATAAATGTAATTTCCTGATTTCAAGTAGATGCAAAACTTATTGATGGTAACTAAAATTAGGCAAAAGAAGAGAAAAATTTTTTGTTAAATGTAAATTCTAATAAATGCGTCAATCTCTCGTCGACATATTGGACACAAACGCAACGAATGACCACATGCGACACATGTTGACATATGTCCGCATGGTATACAAGCTAATTTTTTTTCTTCTGTTATACAAAGAACGCAAAGATTCGGTGATTGAGAATCGTTCGATGTACTTTGATCATTGATATTAGTTACTTTTTTATTTGTTTGCACATCACGTTCATTATCATTACTTGTTAATGATTGCGATGATATATTCATTTTAGCATCTATACGATTTTCTATAGATTGAGCTTCATTAACTGTAGTTAATTTTTCTTCACTCATTCCTATCGCTAGACAATGAGCACATAAATTGAGAAGTATATCTATAATAAACTCACCATTTTGTTCTCCCATTTGCTTCATTTTTATGCTCGGTATAACAATATTTTCTTTTTTACCATCAATATGTTCGATTTGCTTTCGAAGAATTAAACAAGCAATATATAAATCACAATCCGATACAAAATCATCATCTGAATAATAATAAGTAAAAAAAAGAGAAATATAAAAGCAATAGTTTATTGATTAAAATACGTTTTATTCGTAATTGATCTTCCCAACATCGCTTTATAATAGATAATTTAAAATTTCGATCTAATAAATTTTGTGACATCGATAAGTCTAATCGTGCAGCGACCAGTCTGGATAAAGTACATTCATCCGATATTAATAATTTCCCACCATTTTCTTTTATATTTATATTTCTCAGATCATTTGAGCCTGCTTCTTTTAATTCTTTAGTTCTAGCACGTTCTATCAAAACAAAAAAATGAATAAATTTTTAGTGAAAATGAATGACTTTTATAAACTACTTTGTTGTATTCGTTTAGATTCTTGAATTTTATGATATAATTCTTCACCACACAATTGTTTAGCATATGCACAATGCGGAAACCAACGAGCATGTTCAATCATTGGATTATCATTTGAACCCCAATTTTGTAATGATCCATTACAATAAAAGCAAGTAACAATGGTTGCCGCACCTGTATAGAAAAATCCTGCTCGAACTAAATCATCTACTTGTGGTAAATTTTCATTTGGCCACGTAGCAAATGATGCTTGACGTTTTAGTATTTCTGAATAAGTAGGATTACATGATGCTCTAAATACAATATCATTAGTACGTATAGAACTGAGATTATTTGAATTTGATGAAGCAATATTTGTTGTTGAACTTTCGTTAACAATAATTATTGATGAAACTATAGGATTCATCAATTTTGTTTTGACATATATACAATTAGGTGATTGTTTTTTATGTACTTCACATGGATCATCGATCGATGATATCCATTGTTGACAAATAAGATTACAATAGATGCATATTACTCGATCATTAACATTGCAAGAAAAAAACCCAGCCTCAATCATTTGTGTACTTGATGGAACAGTACGATGTGGCCAATGAGAAAAAGTACGTATTCGCACTTGTCGAAGTGAATCGACTTCCAGTAAAGCATTCGATACTGATCCGAAGTCTACCGTTTTTTTCTTTTGAAAAGTAGAAATATTCTCTTCTACAGTCGGTACAGATGCATTTTGAATAGTATTTGTTGGTAACATGTTAGGTTCCAGTATATTTAATGATGAAATCGGTATTATAGAACGTATGAATGGACAATTAGGTTGACTTTTTGAATGAATAGTAAATGGATTCATATCTAATGTCCAATTAGATACTTCAAGTCCACAATCTTTACAACGAGCTGTGTCTCCATTACCTGTATATTCAAAACCAACAGTAGACATATAGCCGACAGGATGAACTCCTGGTCCCTTTACTAATTTAATTAGTGTTTGTATTCGATTAATAGTAGTAGCAAGATTTTGAGAGCCTTCTTTTTTCTTATACAATGATTTCACTGAATTGGCCATTGAATTGTATTTATTAGATACATTACTCAAAGTATTATTTGGAAATTCGGCTAAGATCGACATTTTGCTTTATCTATTTAATAAAGTATAAAAAAGATGATATTTGTATTCATATAAGATGTTAAAACTTCTAGTAATTTTTGAAAATGTATTTTGTAAATTCAAGTGTGTCGTGTGAACAAAATTTTGTATATCGAGATGTATAGAAATTTTTAATGAAACTTCTGGCTAATATCGATGATCTGTATCCTTTTCACACTAAAAACTTATGATAAGATCTAAATCTTCTACTTTGGAAATCTAAACATATGTGGTTAGACTCATACTCAACTAGTTAACGGTTTTCTAGATTTACACTCATTGATACATAGATTTGGAGGCAATAATCGGAAAGAATTTTGTTATTTTCATGTGCCAGTTTACTTTTACTTGCAAATCTTTGATATCAATGTAAGCTCATTCCTAGAGAAATATCTGCATAAACTGAAATGTTTCATTGTGCAATAATAGTCAGCTGACAGAGCGAAAAAAGCATAGCGTTTTAAGTGGATCAATATCAAATGCACTACGCGTGGCGACCTCTTAAAAAATTAAATGGGCCGAGATTTCGATGAATACTAGTAGATAGAAAAAAAAATTCTCTATCAAACTGTGTTTTTACTTTTTTTTAGAAAAGTGATTATAACCGAGAAACATTCGATACAATCTAGTCAATCCAAGCAAATATAAAATAATACTACTGTACCGTATTCTTATCGGTCGTCGAATTTCATTACCCGGTATTAGTCTACTTAATCAATAATTTTCTCAAGAAAAAAAAATAGGCCGAAAAATCTGACTTCATGAGATGATTTGTTTTTTGTCAAGCTACAATTTGATATAAAGTACTCCCTCTGAAAAAGTGATCGAAGTATTTCAGAAATTAGCGCCACTAAGTGCATTAGTGCATTCGCCATTTGTTATTGATTTGATCTTTTTTCTCGATTTGTCTGTAGACTATAACACTACAACTTTTTCAAAAATTTTCCCCAGTTCACCGAAAAATTCTATTGGTCTACGTTGTCGTGAAATGTCAATAAAACCCAGTCAAAATGATTAATACTAAAAGTACCATGATGCAAATACTAATTTTATTTTGAAATTCCCAAGTGTAGATGACAGAACGATAAAATAAATTGTGTAGTTGCATAGATATGCTGGAAAAAAATATAAACATTACATGACCATAACGCCATCTAGTGCCTTAGAAGGAAATAGTACGATACAAAGTGGAATCTAAATTGTTTGACCAGTGTAATTAACTCTCTCACTTATGAAAAGTCAAACAACATATGGCACAGTTGACCTGAGAATTCAGTTGACTTCGGAATCAATAAACAAGCTAACATTGTAGCATGAGTCATAAGATAATTAATGTTGACTTTTTTTATTTAATGACTCAGCAATTCTGAAATTCGTTTCAACCAATCTCTCTATGTCTCGACATCCACAGCGTCAGAAAAAATATCTAATTATATTTTATACGAATTCAGCGACAAATGATGTTATAGCAAATCATCTTGTAGCATTATTACGTTTTAAAACTTCACTGAAATCAATACCATGACTAATCTTTACAGTCACACAACAAAACAATAAATAAAAACTGAGATAACTCTTTATCAACCAAATAAAATATGAATCTATTGTCATTATTCAAAAAATAACAATAAAAATAAACTTCATTAGAAACAAAAAATTGTCTTGTGTGCGTGCTAACGAAATTCATAAACAAACAAAATAAACTAAACGATTTCAATCTCAACTAGATTCCAAAGTCAACTGCAACATGTATATTGTTTATTTGGAATGAATCAAAGCTCATTTATATTGATGCAATAGAGAAAACATGTAGAATTGGTAGTGTTGAAAATTCATTCAAAGATAATTTTTTCATCTCTTTGAACAAACATATTTGTACTTATAAAATTAAAAATATAACATAATTTTCTGTCATAAATATTTCATAATATTTTATTGCAAATAATGTTGTGTGCACTATTTTCGATAAATTCGAGTGATATGTTGGTTTTAAAAATATTTTTTTGTTTAATTCAAAGATCTATTTTACTATCCTTGATCAGTAAAGAGATCTTGAGGGTGTGGATGTGGGTGTAAATATTCTCGTTAGTTGCACTTAAACATACAGCCACACTCTCATCCATACACACTTGCAATGCCGATATAACTGCTAGTAGATTAGACAAACACTTCTATACACATATATGTTGTAGATCACATTCTTGATTCATTGAACAATTAAAAACAAATTTGCTCATGAATGAATAAACTAACCTTATGATTGGAATGACCTATATTTTGCTTTTTCACTACTCAATAGTCTTATCTAAATTCATTATAATTAATAATTAGAATAATTTTCTTTTTTGATGACACTAAAATAAAAAAGGATTCATACTTCTATTTCAAATTTGTTTCTCTACGTAACATTATTAAATCTGTATGAAATTTTCATTCCAGAAAATCTATCTAAAATATAATATTCATAATTGATAAAGCTTTTAATTGATGAATCGATTTTTTCATCTAGATTCTTTATATTCAGTGATGATAAGCTATTACAAAAACAATCTCATAGAAATATAACAAGAATTATTGATCCATAACTTAATGATATATCATTTATTTTTGTGGATCTCATATATACTTTCGAAGAAAATAGTGAGCGTACGATTTAAGTTCAAATTTTTGTAGCTTCCATCTTCCCATTATAGATCTTAATAATCAGAATTACATCATACCCTTGTTTGTCATTTAACTCGACGCTTATAATAATTTAAAATTAACAAAGAATTAAAAAACTCTTGATTTTTACACTTACTGCTTTTATATACTATTATAATGAACCTGAAAGAAATATGCGAATTCCACACTTCAACCTCAAAGTGACTGTGCTAACAAATTTTTTCTTTTAAATAGATCAAGATATCATAATTACAGAATCGAATATAAAATATTTTATATCAAATCTATTTACCAGAACCTTAACAATAATCAAGTAGAAATTTCAAAAAACATTTCTTCAATGATTATTATGAAAGAATCAGCATCTATTTGAGTTTAACAATAACAGTAAGATTTATTAGAATATTAAAATAATTCAAAAAGCAAATAAGTGTTGGAAGCTAGTGTTTGCAAAGAGTTATAAACCCATGAAACTATATATTCTTTATCAGAAATTCTCATAAATCATAAGATCATCTGAAAACTTAATGCATATTTTCATTGTGTAAAAGTCGTTTTTAGACAGTAACATTGAATCAGTACATTAGATAAATTTGATATGTACAATCAAAATCTTGAATTATCTGTTAGAAAAAGCATTACGTTTCTCGAATGGTTCTACATTGTGATATATGAGAAAAGCTATGAACAACAAAAATTGTTTTATTTACTAAGATTAATATGCTTCTTCTTAATTGCTTAAGCACGATCTATAAAATGAAAAAGGAATGTCATGAGTATGATTATGAGTAGTATTTTAACTTGTTAATTTCTCCTTTGAAAAAAAAAGCACTGAAAGAAAAGCTCTATTTAAAAAGTGGAATTGATAATATATGATAAAATCTTTGATATATATATTTTTTTTTTATCTAATTAGTAGTTGATCTCTTCTTTTAACTCCTTCTTTTCTTAATTATCTCCCGCTCTTTACTTTTCTTTCCTTTCAAACTATTTGTGATTTTCTTTTATTCTACGTTTTGTCTACATCACAGTCTATATTATAGATTTCAAATCATATCTAATTGGTTTAAGTGATAGTTGGTCGTATATTATTCATAAAAATGCGTTTTTCTATTACATTAACTACGTTTAAACATTGCTTACTGTCATACAAAAACATGAAAATAGTTGAACATGAAGAAAAATAGGTTGACATAAACTTGCAAGAATGAGAAAAGAAAACGAACCGCAAGCCATTTGAATTTCTATTACTAAAACAAATTTTTTATCTTATTATCAATAGATAATTTTAAGATCACCATTATCTAAGTAATTATATGAAAGATTTAAGCATCTCTTTCTTTTCTAAAACTAGAGAAGAAAATGAAAATGTGACCATTTTCAGTCATATATGAACATCTCTTTGAGAGTTTTATCTCTTCTTGAATTATTCATATTTTTTAACGTCATTTAGAATTCGAACCTTTAGTTATCAGACATTAAATTGAACTCTGTTTTGTTAGATCCAATTCAGTTTTTGAAAATCAGTTCATATTCGGGTTATTTTTTCACTCTTCTGTTAATGACCTCTTCAATATTATAACGTAGTCTTCATACTTTTTTGCTTTTCTTTAAATTAGAATTGTGACGATTTAACACACGCACTTTTTCCTTCATACAGAAGTATCATTCTCTCTCTTATTATTGACTTTTATGTACTCGTAAAATTGAGAATTATCTTACACCCACCTTCAGCTACGTTCTATCTTCAGAATATAAATACTTCACATAAAGCACATTTATATAGTGAATGATGAGTACATGAAAGAACACTATGGAGACGATAGAAATGCAAGACAAAAAGAAAATCGGACATAGATGATGTCAATATCGATTTAGTTTAAACAAGCAGACGAAATAGAAAGATCATTCTGTGACAATTCACAACACGTAAGTATAGTCTTTTCTATCCCGACATCTCAACACTCGAACCATTCTCTACTCACTCTTATATTTCCGCAAGATTTTACTTAGAGATTCTTAGTATTATTCCATCTCCGTAAGAAAATTTTTTTTACCGAAATGGTCTTTTTTGATGACCTGTCATCATATGCATTGAAAATTCATCTCCTCGTTGGTCAAGAAATAAGCAACTCAGTAAAACTAACGCCTTTATCATTTTTGTGCCCGAAACGTTTTGATTGATCTTCTCCTTTAACTATGTCTATTAATACACTACTATTATCTTTCATTATGGTCTTCTTCTCAGTGCTGTACATCGGTCATCTGATTTGATGTAAAAGTGTCGTTCATTGGTGTTATATCATAGAACTCTATCT